TTTTTCCATAGTTGTCGCTGCTCGAGTACTCGCGCCTCCAAGCTGCCGATCTCGATAATGTGGTCAAGGGCTTCTGGTGTCTTAAGAACGGATGTATGCCGCTTATCACATCATTGCCGTCCCTCTGCTCGTTGGGTCAAGGTAGTAGTGGGAAGTGTGTGCTGCATGAAGTTGTCTTGCGCGTCGGCACCTAGCCTCGAGAGGACCAACGATATGTTTGCGCAACTCGTATTCCAAGGCGCATTGTGTGGTCATTAATCGGCTGCCATTTCTGGTTGACTCCTTCTTGCGCGCCGAAGGTGCTGCCCAGCGTGCCTACTTAGAGTGTTGAGCTGTCCATGCGTCTGCTGCTCAGGTTTTGAGGCTGCTGCATCTGCCGGGAGTCATTGGAGCAATGGTATGCTATCGAGGCCAGGGATTGGTATCGTCCAGCCGTGTGTTCAGAAAGCGCGAGGTGATTGTTGCTATGGCCTTGGAATATCCCGCTTGAAGGTCGCATGCTTCTCGAGGTGGCTGGCAGTCCAACCCTGTGGTGTATCATTGGCGAAAATTCACCTTATCTAATTGTTTTGCGAGGTCGTCGTCAGAGGTTGCTCATCTGCGCCACAGGTCCGTGGTCTCAGAGCCGATTTGCGGGCAGCCCTTCTCCTGCGGCACCCCGGTGAGGGCTTTGCGTGACAGCGGCGATAGAAAAGGTTTTTATGATTGGGCGATTATGTGCAAAAGCGTGGTGAGAGAAGTGCGCTTGTCGCAGCAAAGGTGGTGTTGCGATAGCTACGGCGCATTGGAGGGTGAGCTGACTGCGACTTTTGGCAAGGAGATCCGGGAGCTGGAAGTCCAGACCTCGTCGCAGCATTCGTATAGTTCTGTTTATCGTCGCGCTCAAAGTATGTCACGGTTTGAGTATCTCTTGCCTCATGAGCAACCCGCGCCTCACCTTCGGTGAGATGCGACTACCTAGCATGCACTAGCGCTGTTTACAGCCCCCACCCATATATATAGATCGTAGCTTCACACAATACAACCTCAGTTCAATCCTTCAATTCTTCCTGCATATGCGCTCTTCTCACACCGCGACAAAGTAGCGTCCAGGATTGTCAGCGGCTACTGAGAATGAAGGCTTCATACCTGGGTTGTTCTCCGCGAAGACTTCAACCAATCTTCTCAACGTCGCCCACAAATTACCAGCTACGTTGGCGAATCCATTGCTAGAGGCGGTGCGCAACTGCGCAATTGAAGCTGCTGAGCTCGGTGGTATGAAGTGCGGCGATCCGCTCGAGTGTACGATTGAGGGCGAGGGTGTGGCGACCAAATCTTCACATTGTTGGAGCCGCTGGTGCGCTCAAGGATCCTGTCGGCTCCTCCTGAGTCTCAATTGTGTATGTCCTCCACTGAATATCCATCAGCTACTCCCAGTCCGAAGACGAGTCCTCCGCTGGCTACCCCATGTCAAGTTGTAGTTGTTCTGATCCAGCCAGTTGCTGACCTCATTCCCACTTTCTTGTAACGGTGCGATCGAAGGCTCGGCGGTCGGGCGCATGTACGTATGGAATTGTCGGTGATGTGGTGAAGTTGGTGTTGGTGTCAAAGTCACGATGCAGGTTGGAGCTCGCCTTTGGAGGGGCATGCTGCGGTGACGGTCGGACTTAGCGAATGGCGAAAGAACTTCAACATCAAAGATGGATCATGATAAGACTGTGAGACTGAGCACAATGCAGTGCCTTTGCATGCAGCGCGAACTATCGCAATCCAATTGATGCGCCATGTGCCGCCGCAAATGCGAGGCGCATACCGCATCGCGGTTAGCGGCGTATGCACTCCAGAGGTCTTGGTGATGTAGTGAAGCCTATGTCAATAACTCAAAGTACTTCCTGTATGTATTTGCAAGGCTTTGAAGAGTGAAACGAGATGCCCACAGCGTCCTGTAACATTCCAGGCGTGTATATGAGATTGCGTGTGTTCTTCCAAACCATCGCGTGCACCACCCGGGGGGGCAATTGGGTAAACAAAAAGAAAGAAGCTGCAACAAGACCTCCATCCCTAATGCTGGTAAACGCATGTTGTTAAGTATTAATTCAAGATAGAGCTCAGTGTGAGTCGAACACACGTCTCTTGCTGGCAGGCTCCCCCAAATGACTTCAGCTTCCCCGGGCAGTCGCTTCCACCAAGTACGAGAGGTTCGTACTGCAAGTATCCCAACCACTAGACGATGAGCTCGTATTGTTTGATGAGGAGCTTGTGATTTTTTTTGATTATATGACGACATATGTTATTTGAAGTGAGAACGGGAAAAAGGAAATTGAGCTCGGTGTGAGTGGAACACACATCTCCTGCTGTTGAGGCCCTCTCCTAGATGACCCGCGTTTCCCTAGCCAGTCAGCCTTCGGTAAAATCAAAGAGGGGTTATGCTGCAAGTATCTTAACCACTGGACCACGAGCTCTGGGTATTGTTTGATAAGAAGCTCTGGAGATCCCCAGGTGACATAAAACAAGTGAGTTCAGGAGGAAACTGACACAGTTCGAAGACATACTCGCTTAACGACATGCTCGTTTGCATGGTGGGTGAGTGGCCACATTGGTGATTCATAGAAGGTGTCTTGTCCCGTTCCACGAGCCTTGTACGCGAGGAAAGAGCGGAGGAGTATGAAACACTGATGCGGAAGCTTCAGCAATGAAAACGCCGCGCACCTGCCGGTTCAGCGTAATAACTGACTTTGCAAAGACGAGTAGCTGTCCAAATCACGTCTACAAGAGCTTCGTTGAGCGCAGATCTAGATTTCCCAAAACATGATTGGGAAGCAGTTTTGAAGTCTCACGACTAAAACAAATTCCCAGATTGAACGGTTCATGATTTGTTATATTATTCCGTTCAAGTGAGTTCAAGGACTTGAGGACACAATGCCTTAATTCATTGTGAAGGTATGGCTTAGTTCATTGTGAAGGTATGGCTTTGAAATGGAAAGTTACAAGAAGATACTTGAAGATGAGGATTGATCATCGCAATGTGTCGGGAAATCACGCAACCGTCACACTTGCAATCTGGTTGAATCAGGTGAGAACGCACGATCAAGCGCATGGTGAGAGACGGGCAGGAATACTGCATATTGTGGTGAAATTAACTGCGAAGAAGCTGCTACTCAAAGCCTTCATGCTTCCCATGATCCCACCACCCAAAGACATGATGCTTTCCATGATCCTCCCCATCACATACCGTGCAGCCGAAGCCAAGATGTCTCTATCAGCGCTGGTTGGTGACTGCAAGGCCTTGTGGTTGACGCGACACAAAGGGGCGCGCTGTTATAAGGCAAGCGCGTTGCACTGCCAACATGTTAGTGGTTGTGAAAGAGGAGGTGAAGTGAGATGACTTGCCTTGCCTTGCCGCCGTCGCCGCAGAAGATACTGAAGAGAATGCGTCGGAGAGCTGGACGGGAGGCCGCCTGTCGATACTAGTTGTAATTCGCGGCTCAGGAAGTCGAGTCTGCCGGGGAGACACTGCGAAGTGCAGGCATTGGGTTCGTGTGGGTTATCATAGATCCTCACGACCTCAGACTAAGGGACTGTGGGTGATCTGGCGCTTCGTGATGTTAGTTCTAGTGTCTATAACAGGAAGAAGGTGGGCCTTACTATCCGGTGGGAACTGCGCAGACGGGCTGGCCAAAGGAGCAGGGTCGGTGATGACGCGCTCTCGCAGTGGTTGGAGACCCGCACACCTCCCGGCGGCGCACTATTCTGTGCGCAGTTCGAAGCCTTCGAGAGGCTCCTGGGCCTCCCAAGGCAGTTGCGCAAGATGTTAGGCCGAAGCCTTCCGAACGTCATATAGCAGCTATTGCCGCATTTGCAGCAGCGCCAAAGCCCGATTGACTCGCCCATCCGGGCGGCCTTGCTCTTGTTGTTGAAGAGGGCTTTGATGGTGCCCATGACGCTCTTCTTCTTGTTGTGGCCCTGGAGGTTCGATGTGGAAAAGCTCTACGGTGGCGCTGGAGCAGAGTCCAGCTCTGCTCCAGCGCCGCCGCGAAATTAGGAGTCGACGTGCTCGACCCCAAGCTGCGAAGATGGTTGTTAGCGTCTGCAAATCATGTCAGAATCAGAGGGGTTGTAGTCATACCTGTGACGAACGCAATTTCAAAGTTCTTCGAGATAAGGTGCTCTTGAGCAAAGCTTTTGACACACCGTGGCGGCTGAGCAAGGTTAGCTGCGATCGATGGCGAATATGAAGCGAGACGCGACTTACCGGTGTTACGAAATAACACCGCTGGCCACGGCGTCTGCGCGAATGCTGGAAGGTCCGAACGTCATATAGCAGTCAAAAGAAGGGAGACGGTGCTGATGTAAGAGTGTGTTGTGTACGGAAGGAGGAGGAACCTGAGAGTGGAGCTGTACTTATGGTGTCTAAGGCAACGGCGCTACAGAGGCCGGCGCTGCAATTTTCCGGAGCACGCAATCGACAGTGACAGGTGATAGAGTTGAAGTGACCGCGAGTTGGAGAGCAGCTGTGGAAGGTGCACAAGTGGGGCAGATTAGACTCGCCCACGTGCTCGTCACGCGGATGGTTCTGAAGTGGCAGCATGATCTTACGCTGCACCGGAATGGCGTTATTCACCCAGTTGTTGACGGTCTGATGTGTATATATCAAATGACTCTAGTGATGCATGATCAGCGCTCCGCCTGCTTGCCACAGCCTTACAGGGATCGTGATGTTGGGGACCTCGGGAAGCTGCAACCACGTGCGTAAGATCATGCTGCATCAAAGTAACGCTGGGTGATAAATGAAGTGTGCTGCAACATATTCGTGGATCGTAGACAGGTCGAACAGGGCTCTAGAAAGGAGGTGAAGGAGTGCAAAGCAAAGAATTACATTGTAGTCTTTGTTGGACTTTGTGCGGGCATTCAATATGCATAAGCACGCAAGTGTTTTTGGAAGAGCGTCCTTGGGGAGCGAAAAACAGCAAAAGTCGAACATCTTGTAGCTGTGACTTAGTAACTGCTCCAAGACGCTCGATTGGACGAGATCAGAATCGGACTGACCGCTCACCAGCTTTGTGAAGAATTGCTGGTGCGTGTTAGCACTACACTACTCGCCCTTGAATTGTTTGATAGAGGAAATTGTGAGTTGATAATAAATATAGAATAGTGAAATAGACTTAGAATGGCAAGCAATTTTTGAAATGTTGATGTTTCAAACTCTCTAATTCAGATTTGGGGGTGTGCGGGGTTCAAAATTCCACCTTCACGTGGCAATACACGCACAATTATTGTGACAACTTCAATCCCTTCATCAAGCATGCTGGAGACTCTCACGTTATAAAGACATGTCAAATGGGAGGTTTACAGGTGTATTACACTACTACACATGATACAGAAGCTCAGAACGGTACCTTGTCAGCGCACTGAAAGCCTCCTTGCTGTAATGGGCCGAAGCCTTGATTCATGGTACTTGACCTGTAGCCTTCGTTGTGGCTATAATAGGCTAAGAGCGTAGTGCTGTGGGGCCGCTCGGTGCAACCCTCGGAGTTTCGTCGGCGCTCTAGGAATCGCTGGAAGCTTCTCGAAGACAGCACTACTGGATATATGTAAACTCAAAACGAGCGTAGGGTAGCTTCTCCATTTGAATTCATCACTGTTTACCTTGCACTTATGGTTAACCCATCGCACCCTTACACTTGCCACACCATGACCCTCACCACCAAAGCACACTGAAACCCTTCACGCCTTTCTACCATACAGCGGATAGTCTTTCATCTTCCCACCCAGCTCCTCCGGCACCAACTCAGGATGCGAGGTCATGCGCGCGAAGTCCCAAGGCACGCCAAGACGGTGTTGCTTGACCAACATGGCGAGCATCTCGTCCATGCTCAGCTCAGGGACGGTGAGCTGTGGCCAAGTCAGCTCCTCCATACCATCGTTCTTGTGGACCCTCGTCACGTGGTCGAGGCCCTCCTGTCCCTGTGACAGAAGGTTGTGGAGGTCGCGCGCGGCGGTGAAGTGCGCAAGGGCTTGGTTGTAGTTGAACCAATGCTGGTTAGTCATCTTGATCTTGATGGTGTAGACGACGGAAGGTAGCATCTCGTCGCAGGCGATGACCTCATGCAGACCTTCATGCATGTACCTGGACAGCCAGGCATCGAGCTCTCTCATGCCGGCGACAGACTCCTTCTTGGCTGCGCACTCTTTGCGGATGAGCTTGAAGGGACCGAGGAAGAGGGCTCGATCGTGAGCCTAGAAGCAATAGTGTTAGTGAATGTGACTTGCATGAAGCTGAATGTTGAGTCAGGGTACTTACACCTTCAGGAACCTGTGGCACCTCCTCCTTCTTGGCTGTATGAGAGGCAGACTTCTCCGGCATGGTAGTGGGCAGGAAGCTACCAAAGGAGATACTGCGATCTTGAACTGAAGAGGCAGCGTCATTGCCCTCCACCCTGTCTTCACCCTGTGCATCCTCCTTGGCTGCCAAGGCAAGACGCGCCGCAGTGCCGTACTTGGCCTCAAACTCCTCAACCGTGGTAGAAGAGAATGCAAGATAAGGATTTCCTGGGACCTGGCCACCACTGTCGTAAGGGCTGATGTAGCTTCCCTTGACGCCACCATACTTGGGAACAACCTTGCAGACAGACTCACTGCCGGTGAAGGGAAGCTGGCCCAAGGGAGGAAGGGCAGGTCCAGCATCTTCTCCAATGACAGGACTCACTGTACGAGGAGGAGGGGCAAATGGGGCTTCATCCGGGCGAAGATTGCGGGCATCGGCAAGACGGGAGCCAAATCCAGTGGGCGCGCGACGGTTGAACTCGTAAGAGGCAGAGCGGGAGTGCTGAGGAGATGATGGCGCTGAAGAGGGATATTCGTTTTTGGGGGACATGGCCTTGGGAGAGGTTGGAAAGGTCATTTCAGCGTAGTGAATGGACAGAAAAGGGGGAAGCGCGTTGGTTGATGCAGCAGGCTATGCGGGCAAGATTTGCGGGAGGTTGATGCATAGAATCAATGCGGTTGAGCGACAAGGTGCTTGAGCGGATAGCGGCGCAGAGTGATTTTGTCTTGAAAATGGTTTATGCTCAACACAGCTGCTATCACGGGCACTCCCCACATGCACCTAGCTGATGTCGGCTATACAAACGCGCCTCTTTTGAGTCACATTGCCTTGAAAAATGACGCCATTCAACAAACATCTGTTTGAAAAGGGCGGTAAAGAAGCGGCAAAAGGCGGAAAGGGGTCGGCAATCCAAAAAGTCGGGCAAGGTGCGGTCAATTAAGCCGCCCCTTTACAGCCACAACACAAACCATGGCACATCACAGCTTGATCACAAAATGGGACGGAATTGAGCTGATATTGCCTGCTGGCGCCTCGTGGCTGCGTATTGGTGTTGGAAGTGCATGCAAATGTACATTTTCTCTTGGACAGAGAGCTACACATTATGAGAAGAACAATTCAACAAAGACATAGCAAGAATGGCCAAATGCTAAAAGATGGGTGTGGCAAGGCACCTGGATGAGTACAACAATGCCTGGTACTTGGAAACATGATGAAAAAGCTGGACAGGTGTGAAAATTGTGATAGAAGCAGCCCGGAGCCCGAAGTCGCGCCACATGATGTCAAGCATTAGGGGCCTTGATGCCCAAGAGACTGCCTCTACTCGCAACGTCGTGCACTGGTCTCTCAGACGTTGTGTGGATAGCCAGGCCAGGCTATCAAGTGAGTCGTGTCATCAAGGTACCGACTATGACCTAGGCGTGATTTTATGTATTCTCCCGAGGTCTTCTGCCGTTCAGGTTGTTACGCAGCAGCCAACAGACTTTGTATCGTTTCCGCGTATGAGATAGCGTATGGGACAGCGTAAGGGAAGCGTTGGAGACCCTCGGTGGGTGTGCAGATGGCATGGCGGGCAGGAGATGCGCCAGTGTAGTGCGCGCATTGGCGTGCGCATAGGGTAGGTTGCTGACTCGGCCGCGCTGAATGGTAATGTTCGTAGGTGAAGGTTGATATCGTTCATGGAGATGTGATGTGTGCCGGATGTCTTCGTGCCTCGAGATCAGCGCGTGCGCAGGGCTTGTCGCTTTCACTTTCGCAGATAGACCTCGTGGCGCTATAGAGCTTCGGGCGACTCGAGCACTCTCGTAGACTGTCGCAAATGTTAGCAATGAATGTATGCAGTTGCAAGCTGGATGCCTTACTGTGGTCAAGCTCGTGCACCAATTTCTGTACCCGCACCTACCATGACGGCTCGCAGAAGTACCTTTGTTGTCATCTCTGAGGTCGAGGTATGGAGTTGAAGACGGGAAAACAGATCTGTCGACCTGGCACCTTAGTTCACATGGTACACTGTGGACTGCATCTCCACGTGACTCTTAGTCACTGGCTTACTCATCATGTTGTGTATATAATTGCTCTATGTAGCTCTCCCAATACAACAACCTTCTTCTCACTTTTGCCCTGTCTCCCACATCCGACAAGATCTATGGATGTCTGGTGGTGCTACTTAGACCCTAACCTACTTTTGTCACGAACACCAGGCAAAGATCGGATCAAGGACGAATTGCAGGATACTGTTTGCAACATCGGTTTGCATCTGCGAATCAGCCGCACCATAGAGTCATAAGTTGAGGGATAAATTTGCGCGTTGCCTGGCTACTCCAATAGTTCCATAGCATCCTTTGTTTTGTATCCATCAGGAAGGCCAGAGAGACAGATGCAGACTACGAAATTCGGCTCGGAACATTCCGAAAGCCTCAACAGATCGCAGCAGGGCTGGTAAGAGCAGGAGACGTAGATACTTCTGTCAGATATGAGGTAGATTTGGGTGGAAGGGAACAGAGTTGCAGATGCCATGTTCCATAGACTCCCTAGTCCTAAGAGGGACTAGGACAGGGTGGCCTTCCGTCTCATCCCTCAAAAGACTGCACCACAGACGAACAATACACACGTTGAACCCCAAACAATTATCATTCTCATCAGAACCCTGTTATCTGACAACTTCAATTTATTATCTCAAAAGTTCTAGACTGTTTACCTCAACACCTAAGGTAAAGCTCAGAACCCAAATTCCAACCCGCGAAAATGACGCAACAGGTAATTGAAACAGACAACTGAAATTGCGGAGCATTTGTACTATTAGTAAGGGTGTGTCATGCGATAGGAAGTCGCAGTGTTATAGTGCCGGCGCTAAACCCCTTTTATTTTAGTGTGCATAGCAGGAGCAGCAATGCAGGTGCGAACCACAAAATTCTCAGTCAAAGTGATTGAAATGAGCGCCTCAAGATATGGGAGCGCACTCGGACAACTTTTTATCCATGCATTCCTGTGATACCTGGCCTGTCGTGAAGTTTTGCGAACATTTTGCGCTGCTTGTCAAACCCAACGATGATAATCAAGCAATATTGCGCTTCCTTACTCCGTTTACAATCCTCAGTCATGGAACACTTTGATGTGCGCACATAATGCGCAGCTCACGTATCCAGCTTGCATGCGCACTGTTGTCGCACTGTTGTGGACGCGGATGCAGGCACTCGGTCGTGGATGCGGGGAGCGGTTCAAGCTTCGGAACTCAAATCTGACTTCATGTCCTCCACCAGCAGACCAGCAGAAGCCCTACGCTTACCCCACTTCTGTCCACTTTCCGCGTCCTATTATGCGTCTGTCGTCTGATCAAAAATTAATTCATCACAAGCAAAGAACTACGACAAGGGCACCTGGACAGATCGAAAGACGGTTCTTGCTTTGCGATATACCTACGTGAGCTCTCCACCGACGGCGACAGCTGTCAACAAAGATCTCACGACGAGCGCGTGTCGTCGGCCCCAGCGCACATCCATCTTCTTCCGCAGCACCGAAAATATCAAACGCCTTGCTCCATCCTCTGCACCTGGTCGCTCGTCATCGCCGACCCTTTTTTCCAACCCAGTCGTACACCGCCGATTTCATTGACAAAACCATGGAGTTGAAAGAGCGACAAGACATACAGCCAGCCTAATCGGAATACCTACTGTGGCTATGGTCGGCGCTCGATGACCCACTCCTTCAGTTGCTGATACAGTAGCGTCTTGTATGATCTCTCGCGTTCGTTTCGGTAAAATGTCGACGGCTGAAGCTCGT